CCAGTTTGTCCCGTTATGGGACAGCTCCCACTGGGCATCACGCCTGTCTGCCCGTGAGGAAGCTGCCAGGATGTGTTGCCTTGAGGCAATGCATAACCCTTAGATCCTAGGGAAGTGGCATCATGGTATCGGCACCTCTTGGTCCTGCGCACCTCCTCTTACAGCTGCCTCGGTGCTACGCCTCCATCGGCTGCACTATAGCTGTCCGCTATGGAGATCCCCAAGGTCACACTAAATAGCATTGGTTCCCACTGTTTTTTTGTATACAGGAATTTTCTAACTGCGATTCTTTCATTTCACATCACACGAGAGCCTTTGTGGGGGAGAGAGAGCGAGAAAGGGGGAGTGTGTATGTGTGAGAGAGAGAGGAGGAAGGAGAGGGGGAGGCGGGAGGGGACTATCTGAGGAATTACCTTCAATAAGAAGATTGTTTGCCTAAATAATTGTGCCACTAGGGTGGGTTTTTTTTATTAACTACACATCATACCCAATGTGCAAGGTTATTTGTCATTTTAGCAGTCATGAAAGCAGAAGGCTAAAAGCACTGATTAGATTAATCGCACATGAGCAGATACTGCCGCCCCGGGATCCCTGGTGCAAACAGCCCCGTCACACGCATGCAAAGCCCCCTCTCTGGTACCATTGCTGTTTGTCTGACAGTCGAGCCCGGGACCCTCAAAGCACAGACCGGGCCTCTCGTGTGTGAGGTGCTGTACAAAGACGGAGCAAAAGCATGGCCTTTGCCACAAAGCTGAAAATTGCACAGCCGGCCTTTCAAAGGCAGCGTGACCTAGTCAGCGAGTCTCCTGACACCCAGGCCAGTGCTCTGATTGCCCTGCTTGGCCCTGCTCGGCCGTATCATTTCACTTCTTGGGGGGGTCGTGTCTTCACAGCAAACTTACAGCATCCAGGAGCAAGATCCTGCAGCACGATGCCCTGTTTCATGCAGGCTCTGTCCTGAACTGGAAACAGTCTAGCCATGTCTATGCAGTGTTGCAGGCAGGCTAATTAGGTTAGGGCCTAATTAAATTCTGGCCTCATTATTTTGTGCTAATGAACCCATCCTGAAGCTCCCTGCCAAGGCAGCTACACTGCTTCCAAGTTAAGAGGCAGCTGCAGTGGAGCAGTGCAGTGTGCTTGGCAGTGCCTGGCACTGGATCATGGAAAATGAGGGTTGGACGGGACCTTAGGAGGTCTAGTGCAGCCCCCTGCTCAAAGCAGGACCAGCCCCACCTAGATCATCCCAGCCAGGGCTTTGTTGAGCTGGGTCTTAAAATTGCCGAGGATGGAGAGTCCACCACCTCTCTGGGGAGCCTGTCCCAAGTGCTTCACCGCCCTCCTCATGAAAAAGTCCTTCCTAATATCCAACCTCAACTTCCCTTGCTGCAACTTGAGCCCATTGCTCCTTGCTCTGTCATCTGCCCCCACTGAACTCCGTGCTTTTTGGAAACACCCTTCAGGCGGTCGAAAGCTGCTATTAAATCCCCTCTTAGTCTTCTCTTCTCCAGACTAAGTGTGCCATGCTGGTCTCTCCCACTTCCCATCCCTCACTTATAAAATCTACCGGGAGGTAGGGTAGAGTTGCACCTTATAGACTATCCAAATTGTCGAAAAGTTGACTTTGTTTGACTTACAAAAGCTAAGTTTGACTCGGCTTTTGTAAGCAGCGGCTCACTTGGCCAGCTGCTGACTCTCCGATCTGGTTTAGACTGCTAACTGGTTGAGACAGGCCTCGTGTTTTGTACAGCGCCTAGCGCAGTGGGCCCATGATCGCACTTGGACACTAATGTTACAGACGCGCTACACCAGGGATGTCAAACAGTGCGCTTTGTGGGCCAGACCCGCACATAGTGACAGGCCAAGCAGCAGTGCAACCATTGCTCCCCCCGTGCTGCAAGCGCATGTCCCTAACGGGGCTCTCTACTGCAGATTCCAGCTTGGCCTCAATCACCCCGTCCCCAAACCCCTGGAGCCCTGCAGGCCAGCCCGTGCATTTCTTTGCGCCGGATCCAGCCTGTGGGCTGTACGTTGGACATCCCTGTGCTAAACAAATGCTCCAGGAACAGTCCCGCACATTGCAGCCGCAGCAGCGTAGCAAACTCGACAGGTGGGGACAAGGCGGCTGCTGCATGATCAAAGCCGAGGCTGCGCTAGACAGCATCAGGCTGATGGCGTGGGCAGACGGCTGCTCATCTCTGCCGGGGGGTGCCCGAGCAGGCTATGCACACGTGTTGGGGGTGCAGAGTGGTGTTCGGAGGGGAAATTTGTGCACGGCGCTGTCTGAAAACAGCCCTCGCTTCTGAATCCTGCTCACAAGCAGCTCCCATCGAAGCTGCGTCCTAATCTCCCCGTGGCATTTCCATTGTGGTGCCATCTCCAGAAACGTAAACTTTCAGTAATGACTTCTTTTTTTCTTTTTTTCCCCCAAATTAGGTGAAAAACCTGACAACAAATGGAAGGCTGGGGCCTTGGTCCCTGTGGCAGCCGTGCGAGCATTCGGACGGGGACAGCACCGGCTCCTGCGTGTGCAGGTCGCGGTCGTGTGACAGCCCTCGCCCTCGCTGCGGGGGTCGCGTCTGCGAAGGGGCCCGGATTGAGGTGGCGAATTGCTCGAGGTACCTCTGCGTGCCGGCGCCTTTTGGGAGGGGAACGGGACGGCTCCTGCTGGTACTTGGCCTCTTCCCATAAGTTGCTGCTGGCATCGCCTTGTCTTTGGGCCGTGTTTGGCCCTGGCGCCCGCGCGGGGCCGTTCCATGGGAGGTCAGCAGGAGCCACCTGTGACAAAACAGGCTTCTCGAGTTGGGTGTCAAAGGTTGAGGACTAGTCTCAATCTTGACCATCGTCGTCTTGGTCTTTGTTTCCCGGAGCTGGGGAGTGGGAAGTGTGGCGGGAGCGGGGGAGTAGAGTTTGGCTCTAGGCAATAATCACGCGATGGACGGGCCCCCCTCCTGGCATCTGGGCTTGAAAGTGTGAGAAGGTATCCCAAAGGGAGAGGGAAGGAGGCCCTGCTGAATGGTATTTGTGGTCTGGGCATACCCTCCTAGCCATGTCGACCCGAGGGAAGGAGGAGCAGGCAGGGGCTGGGAGCTTTGTGACCGCTGTTTGCCTTCTGCACCAGCGCCATGGTCGATAAAAGGCCAGCAGAGTTTTAATCTATCTCAGCTCCTCTTCTCGGCATGCCGAGGAAGCTTTTCATCAACTCCTCCTTCCTCCGTCCTGGTTTTGGCACTGGAAGATTCAGCTGCCTTTATTAAAGTTCACATTTTAATTGGAGCTTGTCTTTCCAGCTGCGTGCTGTGCTGCCTGTGTAACCGAGCCAGGCTTTCCTACCCCCGCTTCGCTGCCCTGCACCGAGCTGCGGCCCCTGCGGCGGCCCGGTTCAGCCGGTGACTGACGGCAGGCACCCGGGCTTTAGCATCCCTCCTGCTCTTGACTCCGGTCCAGGGGCGCAAAAGGGGGGACCAGCCCCCGAGAAGTGGCTGAGAAACATACCCGGCCCTCAAACGTAGGGAAGCAGCAGGGCTTGAAAAATAGGGACATCTGGTCATCCTACATCCGCCTCAGCCCCAAACTTCCTTTAATTGACTTCATATGGCATTGTGATATTTTGCAATGAGAGCAGGATGTTTCAAGATGAGCTTTATTAGAAAGCAAGAGCTGGAAAAGCTGAAATCGGAAACTCTTTGATGCCGTTAAGGATCCAGGAAAACAAGGAGCTGACGAGACTCATTCTTTTTTTGAGGCTTTATCTGAGTCTAATCTATATTATAGTCTGTAGTTATTTTCCTTTTCTGCAAGAGTTGGAAATATCTCTATCTATCTATCTATCTATCTATCTATCTATCTATCTATCTATAGATAGATAAATAGATATGTATACGTATAGATTGATATAGATCTATCTATATAAATATCTGTAGCTATATCTATATATATCTATATAAATATCTATAGCTATAGATATTTATATAGATAGATAGAGATAGATATCTCAGTCTATCTATCTATAGATATAGCTCTCACAGTATCTATCTATAGATAGATAGATCGATAGATATGTATATGTATATATAGATAGATGGACTGAGATAGCTATATCTCTCTATCGATCTATCTGTCTATCTATAGATAGATAGATATAGATCGATAGATAGATATAGGATGCTCTTCAATGCTGATATAGATAGATAGATAGATATACACACACATATATATCTATATCTATATAGGATGCTCTTCAACGCTGTTCAAAATCCTAGAATAGAAATAGGTGATGAGAACGGCTATGAGGAATTTTTTGTATGCGTGTGTTTTCCTTTTCTTTTTACAACAAAATTCTCCTTGTGATATTTTTTATCCATTTAAGATTTTCCATAAAAATCTCTCGCTAGGTTGAGAAGTGTGAAGGGGCAGGTGGGTTAAAATGTGAGTGGGTGGGATTTTCATATAACCAGATTTCTTGCAGCACAAGGGGGAAGAGATACCCAGCGCGTTTCTGCCAAGAGCAGGCGAGAGCCGATAACGAACATAAAAAGTGTGGAAAGGCCAGGTCACAAAGGCCATGGACACAGGTGTCGCAGTGGATGTAGTCTTTCTGGACTTCAGCAAGGCCTTTGACACCGTCTCTCACCCCATCCTAATTAATAAACTAGGCGACTGTGGCATAGATGCCTACACAGTCAGATGGATTGCAGATTGGCTGAAGGGTCGCACTCAGAGGGTGGTGGTGGATGGATCATACTCGACTTGGGGGGAGGTGGGTAGTGGAGTCCCCCAGGGCTCGGTCCTGGGCCCTGCGCTGTTCAATTTCTTCATCAGCGATCTTGATGCTGGGGTGGAAAGCAACCTGTTTAAATTCGCTGATGACACCAAAATTTGGGGGGAGGTGAGCACGCTAGCAGGGAGAGAGAGATTGCAGAAGGATCTGGATAGGTTACAGGGGTGGGCAAACAGGAACAGGATGCGTTTCAATACGGACAAGTGCAGGGTGCTGCACTTGGGTAGTAGGAACCAGCAGCACACTTATACGATGGGGAACTCCCTACTTGAGAGCACGGAGGCGGAAAGGGATCTTGGTGGCATTATTGACTCCAAGATGAACATGGGCCGACAATGCGAGGTCATGGTTGGCAGGGCTAACCGGACCTTGTCGTGCATCCACAGGTGCATCTCGAGTAGAGCCAGGGAGGTGATCCTCCCCCTCTATGCGACGCTGGTCAGGCCGCAGCTGGAGTATTGTGTCCAGTTCTGTGCGCCCCATTTCAGGAGGGATGTGGACAACATGGAGAGGGTCCAGAGGAGGGCCACCCGCATGATCCGGGGACAACAGGGCAGACCCTACAGTGAGAGACTGCGGGACCTGAACCTATTCAGCCTCCACAAGAGAAGGCTGAGGGGGGACCTGGTGACCGTCTATAAACTCACTAGGGGGAACCAGAAGGGTTTGGGGGAGACGCTGTTTCCCCTAGCCCCCGCTGGCATAACAAGGAGTAATGGGCACAAGTTGATGGAGAGGAGGTACAGATTGGACATCCGAAAAAACTACTTCACAGTTAGGGCGGCTAGGAGCTGGAACCAACTTCCAAGGGAGGTGGTGCTGGCCCCTACCCTGGGGATCTTTAAGAAGAGGCTGGATACTTACCTGGCTGGACTCATTTGAGTCCCGTTTTTGTTTTTAGGGTGAGTGGTTTCTATAAGGCAGCGGCAGGTTTAACTTTCATCCTGCACCTTGCTTGGTGCCAAGCTGGACCACACTTCTTGCCAGTGCTGTTAGTTCAGTAAATGCTTTGAAAATTAACATCTGTTCTCTAGCTCAGCTTTGGAGATCAACTGTAAGCCGAGGGCAGTGCTGAGTAGACTTCAGAAAGTGGCATTTTTTGTTTTCCGTTCTTACAAAGTGAGGTGCTTGGGCTGGGACCAGCGCCGCATTGGGATTACGCAGTGCAGGAAGACCGAGAACGGCCTGGCTGGTGGCTCTTTCTCAGCGGGGAGTCTTTGGCGAACCTGATCCAGAATCTGATTCCTCCGCCCCTGAAGGCAGTGTGTTTGAAGGCGCCATAGTGTTGCCAAACCAAACTATTAGTTGTGAGATTGGCTTTAAAAATCATGGGCTTTCTAAAATGACAGCTGTTGGGGTCTGCTTAAATGCCTCTGGTTTCTGTGCTGTTAGAGTCACAGGATGCTAAAGGAACCAGGCTCTCCTTTTTTTCCTGCAAGCAGGAAACTAATTGCTTTTAAATGGAAGCTGCGATTCTCACTTCCTAATCAGATTCAGGAGCTGGGGCTGTGAGGATAACACCAAACATCATGAGACAATTGTGAGAGCTGGCAACACCGCTGTTACAAGGGCTGGGTACTTAGCAGAGGGTTTTGCATCTCCTTTGCCACGGCTGGCTTCTGGGGCGCACAAAAGCTATACTGCACTTTGTGCTACTTCATGCCAGGAACCAGGTCTGGATTTTAAGTTGGGATTGGGGATCCGCTGCTGTGCTTCACATGGCCCAACAAGGGAGGACGAGGAGGAGAACGGTCGGTGAGATTTATCGAGGAATGGGATCATCATCAATCATATTGCAGCAAGCCTGTGCAAGCACAGAGGGATTTGCAACAGAGCTCAGCACTGGCTTACTTCTCTTCCTTTCAAAGTCAGTGGGAGATTTACCCTAGCACTTAATGGGAACAGAGATCAGCCAGAGCCAAGCACGTCTGCAAAACCCTTTCCTAAATCCTTGCCTAGGTTTGGTCTGGTTGACATGGAGCACGTCTTTTAGACTCATATCCCAGTGACTCTTCGGGGCGGCTACTCGGGGACTTGTCAGCCAGTAGCGTGACGCTGGATTAACCCACCTCTCCTGTTTTCTCACCTCTCCCTTCCCGCCCTGTTTATTAGAAATGGAGCTTGGACACCATGGTCCTCCTGGGCCCCGTGCAGCACGTCCTGCGGGATTGGCTTTCAGGTCCGTCAGAGGTCGTGCAGCAACCCTGCTCCGCGGCACGGGGGCCGGGTCTGCGTTGGACAGAGCAGAGAGGAGCGGTAAGAGGCATTCAGTGCTCAGACTTTGTCTAGCGAGACAGCAATGTCTTCCTCCTAGAGGTGATGACTGTATACATGAGGGCATGATTGCGCCCCTCTTAATGGAGGTTTGAATGCAATAGACTGGTGTCAGTGCAGCATCAGGGCTGGATAGTCACGTCCTGCATATAGAAAGGAGGAAAATCCAGAAGTTAAGGTGTGGTAACTCATCCACTGGGTTGTAACAAAGCCGTGGCCGTCACTTCACAGCTAAAGTTCGATTTTCCCCCTGCTTGGATCTGAATTTGTAGTGACGATGTACAAAAAGAACGAACGTGGCTTCAGTCTCAGATGCAAGGTTGCAGAGCTGTTCACGCAGAAAACTTCCTCTTGGAAGGTGAGCAAATTTCATCTGAAGTCTTTGGAAGACAATAACTTTGGAGCCCAACGTGCCATTTGCAATAAGCCACTTCTCAGACTCCAGCCAGTTGTTAAGCAGGTGCTTCAAAGTATTCCCATCCAATTTCCTGCCTTGACATTACAGCAAAGGCCAGGTCTTCTTGGCAGCAGGTTTCGCGGGTCCCTGGAGTGGTGACCAGAGGCAGGCCTCTCCGAGCGTTTCAGACTGCAGAGCATAATTCATTTAACTTTTTGATTCTGGGCTCTTTATGTTCGGCTTGATTTGTAGCCAGTCAAAGACGGGACCTGCTTTGTTTTAGAAACTGCATGTCAGTCGGTTATAGTCTAAGTGATTCAATTGGAGAAGGAGACTGAATCAGAAATGGAACAAAAATGACGTTACCTTTAAAAAGAAGGGAAAATGCAATAACGTTAATGCAGGGTCTGTTTTTAGATACACTCAGCTTTTTCAACCTGATTTCAGGCAGGGGTTTATGAGCCAAACAAAAACGAGGGCTGGAGTTTTTAAGAGACTGGGTTTTCAGGTACTCGGCACCCATAACTGAGGATGGATTGTCGCCTACGGGCCAGATTCGAAGTCCCGTTGGGACACATTGGGGGTAGGGGCAATGAGCTCTTTTGAAAAACCATCTAATAAATATGGGCATCTAAGGATACATCCACATGGCACAAAGCAGTGCCCCGCTAGCCCTGCTGTGCCACCTAACTCCCTCCCCACAAGCATTATATCTATCTTACTATTAGTGATACATCATTGCCAATCGGCTGAGAGCTTGCAGGTACAGTGCAATGCTCTGCTCTTGCTACAGGTAGGGAGCAAATTGTCTGATATCTTGTATGGGATCCAAACACTCTTGGGGATCCAGTCCTACTCATGGGTGCCAAATGTGTTAACACGTCCCCCCCAAATATCTTGTTCACTCCTCTAAGCTAAGAGGTGTGGTTCACAGCGGCAAAACCTACGCCCCACTTGTCTGAGCGTATCAGCCTTGTGTGCATGGGCGAATTGCACCCAACATGCATGTAGCGCGGGGATTGTTTCAACCTGGTTCCTGCTTGCCTTTTGCTGTCTCCTATCACTTGCATGGATTCGTTTTGGGAACTGTTGCCTGCACCCTTTCAGATTCTGCAACGAGAATACCCCGTGCCCTTTACCGATATTCTGGTCTTCCTGGGGCCCCTGGAATAAGTGCAGCGCGAACTGTGGTGGAGGGATCCACTCCAGGCAGAGGTCCTGCGAGAACGCCAACACCTGCCCTGGCTGCGCCGTGGTGAGTTATGCTTATTGACACCGCAGTCAGCCCCCAGGGGTCCGGTAGGGCTCGGTTACATACAGGCCCCATTACTGTTTGGCTTCTCAAGCTAGAGCAAAAGGCCAACAGCAGCCTCTGCCCTACGTGGCGGTGGGCGACATGGAAGGTGGACAGGCGTGTGCTACGGTGGGCGTGCACCCAAACTCAGTGAAGTCAACGTGTGTAAGTTGGAAGGGGGAGTCTTTTCATTAGCCGTTATTGGGGTTTGGAATAGACCCACGGCCCACACTAGCGCGGTAGCTCAAGCACCTTCCACCACTTTTGCCTTTCATATTGGTGCATGGCGGGATCTCGTGCAATTCATCAGAATCGGGCTTTGTGCCTGAGTCGACAGCGATAAGCACATCCTATCAGGGACGCAGCAATGACCGTTCCCACCATTTAGCTCCCAGCTATTAGGTACAAGGTATTTTTAATTAGCTCTATGAAGGGTCTTCCTAGGTTTAAACAAATTTGATCTGGAATCTGTTCACACAGCGCTTGGCGTCCGGGCTCGAGTCACAAAGATCTGAAGCAGTCAGTTCCTTTCTCCCTCGCCAGCAGCGACTGCCTTGCATTTTTTAAAAGCAGGAAATCAGTGTTATTCTTTGGAGTTCATCCTCCAGGTTGGGCGGATTGCAAGAATCTAGGGCTGCACGGATACCCGTGCATCCAGCACTTCTCCTGTACACAACCCCCACCGATGTCCATGGCAGCTCAAGCACAGAAAGATGGCCTTCCCTGTGAATTTTTTAAAAACAAACGGAGAGGAAGATATAACCTCTTAAAAAGATACGCATAGTAACATGTGTGGGGTGCTAGAGAATGAGCTGATATTTTTTCGTCAGTGATGGCAGCCAAACACTGCTGCAGCCAGAAGTCATTACACTGGTTGATGCAGATGCAGCAAAGGATTCCCCTTGATATTGTTATTTATTTCATTTTCTGGTGCCCAAAACATGCTAGGGCCTCTCTAAGAAGGCACGTGACCTTGCCTCCTGAAGCCCACAATCTTGCAAAGATACGGCCCTTAAGAAAAGCAACAGGTCAAATATACCCCACTGAAAAGGACCATCAGGAGGCCCGTGCACCTCCAGTTAAGTGCCAACTAATGCCCCTGGCTTGTACTGTCCGTGGGCACTGGGGTGAGTTGTAGTGGTGTAGTCAGGGTGCGTGTCACTTTAGATGCAGTTGTTCTTGGATTGTGGGATCCTTTTGTGCAGCCACGGAGCAGGCATTCATAAGTCTCCTTGGATGAGTAAGGGGTGATTTTCCTCATTGGCAGGAATACAAGACCTGCAACCCAGAGAGCTGCCCAGAGGTGCGCAGGAACACGCCCTGGACCCCCTGGATGCCGGTGAACATCACCCAGAACGGAGCCCGCCAGGAACAGCGCTTCCGCTACACCTGCCGAGCCCAGCTGGCCGACCCCCACGAGCTGCAGTTCGGGAGGAAGAAGACGGAGAGTCGCTTCTGCCCCAATGACGGCTCAGCAGTCTGTGACACGGACTGTATGTCCCCTGCCCACTCGCAGCGGGCCCTGGGGCCAGGCTCAGCCCTGGTGAAAGGGGGAGGCTGTCAGGACACTGGTGTATTTGGATACACCCAACCTCAGCTACTCACACCCCCACTAATTGCAAGGGTGGAAAGAGCCCCCAAGACCTAGAGGAGACCACAGGCAGGAAGGCTGCAAGGAGCCGCTTTGTTCCCTTCACTCTTGAAGAAGGCCAGGCTTACGCCCTAGCTCAGGGGCATGTAGGGACTGTTTCCTCCTGCTAGTGGCCCTGGGGGACATGACACCCCCGGCAGGAAGTGGGGAGGTGACATCATCTGTTCACTGCTGATGTCAGGGGATGGGAAAGGCAGTGAGCCTTCCTGAGTGGGCACCATGCCTACTCTCTCTGCCCTCTCTGGAGTCCCACGACAGGGGTTCAGGTCCTCCTGGCACTGTCTCTGGAGTGGTACAACTCCATGGGCATGTCTACATGTTTTTTAATGCACCTTTGCTACTGCACATAAAGTTTAGGACCCCTAATATGAGGTACTAGATAAAGGTGCAGTAGCAAAGGCGAACATTTTTTGGTGACACTTAATGCGCAGTAGGCTAATTCTGCTGTGCATTGGCACGGGTTTTGCCGTGACGCACTAATGCACAGTAGAACAGTCCACTGAGCATTAAGGCATCATGTAGATGCTGCCCAAAAATCTGTTTGCTCTGATATCACGTTGTGTTTCTGCTTTCCCTTTTTTTCACGTGCACACCACGTTTTACTTCTCAGTTGCACCCTTGGACAGCAGAACAGAGCTGCTGATGCTGAAATCCCAGCACTTTCCCAAAAAACTGTAGAGGGTTGATTGAGTTTGTTTGCAAGTTCAAGCCCAGCCTGGACATCCAGTCACAGAGTATTAAACCTTTTGTTCTCATCTGTTCTTCTTCAGCTCTCGTTGAAGATCTCCTGTAGAGCGGTAAGACCTCTGCACGGATAATCAATGGTGGCTGGTCTTTCTGGGGGGCCTGGTCTTCCTGTTCGAGGGACTGTGAGTTGGGCTTCAGGATCAGGAAGAGAACGTGCACAAACCCAGAACCTAAAAACGGCGGCTTGCCCTGCGTAGGGTCTGCAATGGAGTATCAAGATTGTAACCCGCACCCCTGCCCAGGTAAGGAAATAGTCCTAGTCTTCCTCCGTGCAGTCAGTCTGGACTCTGTTCTGCATGCATCATTTCTATATGGATCCACCTTTCTCTCCTTCCCTGCATATACAAATGCAGTGTTGCATGTTGCATTGAGTCACCAGACAATTTAAAATCTCATTTGAAGGATTGTAATATGGAAATACGTCCGGTAGCTAGAAGCAGGTGTCTAGGAGGCAGGACCTGTGGTTTCCTCGGCCAGCCCTGGCTGGCTAGACCACTTTGGTTAAATAACTTTTCAGAGCTTCAGTTTTCTCTGTGCAGAACGGGGACAGCAGTACACATTTCAGAGGGCCTAGCGTGAGTAAAGAAAGGTGCTGCACAAACCCGGGCTAGTTATAGCATTAAAAACGTTTGGGTTATAGCAAGTAAATCTAGATCCTACCGTCCCCACCTAGAGAGAAGTGCCAGGAAATGTTTAAAAACAAGCTGTGGTTTTAGGGGCCACATGCAGGAGCAAATAAATTTAAATAGACATTATGGACCTCAGTGTACGGTCTTTGCTGTTGCTGCTAGATTTGCTTCAACGCTTGTCGAGCACGACACCTTGAAGCTCTCTGTTGGTTCAAGATGACCATTGTCGGGTCCAGGAAAATGGCAGTCCTGGTGACCCCAACCTGGGGATCGGTTAGGAAGTTGAGACTCAACTGCGTCCCGGAATCTCATTAGCAAAAGAGAGGGGAAAGACGATCTCTGTCTCGCTCTCATTTTCAATGCTCCTCAGTGAAAGGGTCGTGGTCTTGCTGGACGCCCTGGTCACAGTGCTCAGCCACTTGTGGGGGAGGACACTACCAGCGCACCCGCACCTGCACCAACCCGGCGCCATCCAGTGGCGAGGACATCTGCATCGGCCTGCACACCGAGGAGGCGCTCTGCAATACGCACTCGTGCGAAGGTGGCCAGTTATTTTTCTCCCCATTCACACTGAGTTGGGGGAGAGGAAGGATGGGGGGAATATGTGAGGAACCAGGGAAGAACAGGCATCCTAATTTTCAAAGTAAATGCATCACCTTTCTCTTAACTTGCTCACTGGAGCATGCCCTGGCGCTGTAGCGCTGGCCAGGCAAAATCTCGTTAGCCGCTGATCCATTGAGAGTAATTGAAAAAGCAGATCCGTTGTGAGCGGAGGTGTTTCGCAAGACAAACAGAAGGAGTCTCGGGAGCGCCAGACCGTGTGGCTGCTGCACGGGGCGGCCTTCCTTTTGCTGAGCTGAGGCGCGTGCAGCGTGGCTTGCAGAGAAAAGGGTTCCCAAGCCCCGTTTGCACCCCCACCTCCGGTCACGCTGTAGGTTGGCCATGAGCTGGGACCCCTGTAATGTACGTGGGGTGGTATACACCCCACTTGTATACCCCCACTTTTAAGGACCCCTGTGATGTATACAGGTGGTCTGCGGTGCCCCTACAGCCATGTTGGCAGATTAGGGTAGCCATGATGGAGGAAACCTCTGGGTTGCTGGAGGCTTGGGTCTGCTATAGGAGCCTTTAAGCCAACTTGACACTACACAGTGATCCCTCCTTGAGTCAGTGGTGCTCGCCTGGGGGAGTCTGGCACTGAGGTTGGCAGCAATAATGCTGGAGGATCCAGTCCACCTCAGGGAAGTCCCCTGCCCAACATCCAGCTACCCCTGTGCATTGCAGACGCTTGGCTCCCAGTGGCATCTCTTCCCCCCCCCGGGGTGGTAGTGGTGTATATGCATTATTCCTGATGCGAGTCTCATCTGGTTTAAGGCGGGTGGTCCGACTGGTCCGAGTGGAGCCTGTGCAATGAAGATGGGGTCCAATATCGCAGCCGCTACTGTGAGATTCATGACCCCAAGTCTTCCCAGTGTGTCGGGAACAGCACGCAATACCAGGACTGCCTGTACAACGAAATTCCCGGTGAGCGCCAGGGGAACGAGGGCAGGGCAGTTCCTCTAGGCGTAACCCGCTTCTCGGGTACGGATGTCAAGAGAGGCCAAGATTTGCTCGGCTATGGCTTGGATGCCCGTTGAAGCAAATGCTTCCCACTCCTATGGACACCTTTGAAACGCTCCCTTGTAATGGGTCGCACAGCGTGTCTGCAATGGTTGGCAGAGCCCAGCTCTCCTAGAAAGCTGTGTAATCTATATTACATTAATGGTGCTGCTTAATTTGAATTGGGACTTTGAGCCCTGTTTGGCTCAGCTGATGAGGAGCCTGGCCCTGCTCGGGCTCCTGGGGCTGGTTGATGGTGGGAGGGGAGCTGGAGCTCTCGAGAGGCAGCGGGCTGAAGTGCTTTTGCTCAGTCTCTGCTCTGTGTCCTCTGTTGACCTCTCGACTTCGGGAGACCCTTGCTCGGCCACAAATTGGCCTCTCGGGCACAGAGCAGAGACTTTAGTTACTTGGCGCAGTTGATCGCAAAATGACAGCTTCCCCCACCTGCTTTCTCTTTGTTTAGTGATCCTGCCAGCTTCGAGCATCGACGAGAGCACGAACTGTGGAGGTAGAGTACAGCTAATGATGTGTCTTATTTTTATCTCCACCTGGCTATTTTTTTTTTTTTAACTTCACATGGCAGCATCAACCAAACCGTTCATCTACACCACTTGGCCCCGCTGATAGCCCTTCATTCCAGCGGCGTCTCGTTGTCGGAGTCGAACTGGGAGAACGTACCGCTTTTTCCTGTTGTCAGACACTTATTTATTTCTGGTTTTGGGGTGGGCGCTCAGAAATCATCAGTTAGCAGCCTGTCTCGCTCTGCCTGCTCCGGGGAAATGATGGGGTAGCCCTCGGTTTGCAAATGAGAAGCCTCCAACTGCTCGGAGACAGGCGTGCGGAAAGGACTATAAAGATGTCGGTGAATGGAGCCTCCTCCCCAGTGCAAACAAGGTTAGACAAGCATCGATAGTCATCTTTCCTGGGGTTTCTTTCCTTCCAGCCCAGGGTTTTCCTTCACAAAAGCCGCGCCTCCCTCTGCACGGACATTTGGAAAGGCTAGCGATTAACTTCCTCCCCACTGCCCGGCAAAGCCTAGATGCACGACGCCATTTAGAAAAAGGGATTAGTGACTCCCTCCGTCTATTTGAAGTCATCACGGGAGCGGGGTCACACCGTGGGGTTCTTGTGCCTTTCCATCGGGATCACCCACCGTCCCTGCTCGGGCGCCCAAGACGAAGTGCAGCTACTGACTCCCTCCCGAGGAGCTCTCCTTACAAAGATGATGATGACAAAAAGGGCAAACCAGCCATCAGTGGATTTTATATAGAGCTTCTTGGTTTGTGACTGCAGGGAAATAATGGGAGTGGGACTTCAGCTCTGCTAATGGAAAGACTGGCTTTTTGCACCACTCTCGCTGCCTCGCGTGACACAAGGCGTCTGCTCCAACTCCAGAGTTGCTTATTAACGTCACACTCCCAGGTTATGCATTGCTATTGACATTTCCCCCCCGCTCTCCTTTTCCATTGCAATTTTATTTGCTGTTGCCATCTACATTTTACCGTGGCTAATATTATATATTGCTTTTTACAATATCTGGCAAGAAAACTAATCGATAGAAGCTCCTTGTGTTGCATTTCAGAAAGTGAAGCAACCTATGTTATACAAACCAACGTGCCCGGAAGGCCCCCTATAGGATATAATGAGTTGCAGATAAAATAATGTCTCCTGTCCCCTGGGGGGCTGTTAAAACACACCTGAAAAATGACATCGCTCTTTCAAGGACCAGAGTTAAATGGAAAAGAGACTGCGCTGCACCTCTTAGTGCAACCGTAATTGGATTTCTTATGACGCGGATGCAGCTGCCTAGTGTGGACGCAGAAGTGAATTCACTTTATTTCTGCTGTCATGAAGTAGTGATGAGCTGTAGGAGTTAGGCAACGGTAGGTTTTTTAGCAGGGAGCTATTCCTTTGGAAAAGTCTTGTAAAACTGAATAGGAAATTATAAAATTTCAGCCTGTTTTTCAGACAGTCCTCTAAAATATAACAGAAAATTACACCCTTCCAATAGACTTTTATAGGATGGTTAGAAAATAACCGCAGATTATCAGTCCACTAAATTCTGTATCTGTCTCGCTGCAAGTTTGATTGAAACCTGTTAAGTTTCTGTACAACTCTATTGGTTTTGTCCCTATTAAACACCGTAGACTTTTTTCTATAAATGGCAGAGGAGAGCAATAAAATTACCGCTTGGAAAGCTATGCGACAAGCATGTTGGCCCGAAAGGAAGATGTCGCTGGTTGGTGGTGGGTAAAATGCTTCTTCCTGTGACCGGACCAAGGAAGAGCACCATTCAGCACCGCCGAAGAAGCAGTCCCTTTGCTTTCTGCATGTAAAGCTGCAAACAAATCCTTTGTATTTTTGGGGCTACCTAAATATTCTCTCTGCGAGCATCACTAGTGGCCCTCCGGGGTGAGCACGCCGGGGCGCGATGCTTCCTTACAGTGTCCGTACCCCGTACCGTTCTCCTTTTGGAAAGTCACAAAGCAGAAGCCAGACTGGAATGGTGCCCACAGCTGAAGAAGAGGACAGGACAGGGTTACAACCAAGTGCTGTGCAAGTCTCTTCGGGATCCACGCCTACGTCGGCTGGCACGGATGATGCTCTCGACTCGAGTTGCTGTACGGGCACCGCTGCTCCTGTTGGCGAAGGTGGAGAGCAGTGGGTGGTGTGATTACATCCTGGCAGCAAAGGGCTTTCTGGGGTGAAGCAGGGATGACGAATGACTCTCGCCTAGTATTTATTATTTGGCTTCCTCGTTTCGCCTCCGCAGCCACCTGCCACGCAGCGCCTGCTGCTTTCCCTGGCAGCTTCCCATTACCTCTTTCCAGGAGGTAGCACATGGCGTTGGAAGGGTTTGGAGCGCCACCACTTCAGAGATCCCTCCAGATGGCTTTCATGCTGCCTCGCCAGGGTGAACTCCGTCTTCGCAACTTGTGCGGAAATTTGATTCAGCAG